GTCGAGCGTCGACCGGTGTGGGCGGAAACCGCTCTGCTCCTCCGGGAGGATGCCCTCTCGCTCGCAGTAGTGGCTTAGGCGTGTTGCAACGACCTTAAGCAGCACCTTGCCGGCGTGTGCAACGAGAGAGATGCCCCGGTAGTTGCCGCACTCCATCGTGTCCCCCTTCTTGAACAGAACCTTGATGGTGGCGTCCTTCCACTGCTGCGGTACGTTCCCCGTCTGCCACACGTCCACGACGATGGCGTGGAATTCGCGGAGGAAGCCTCGGTCTCCATCCAGGAACAGCTTGATCAGCTCAGCCGGTAGGTCGTCCGGCCCGATGGCCTTCCTGTTGGCCATTCCCCGCACCGCCTCCTCAACCTCGAATAGAGACGGGATGTCGTCGAGCGGAACGCACGTGGGCCACTGCTTGACTCTGTCGGTCGCATGCAGGTCGATGGTCGGCGACTTGGTGTAGTGTCGAGGTCGGAAGCAACAACAGCGCTGAGGGACATGGCGAGAAGAGTAGGAGAAAACCCAACGCACTTCGCGCTGCATTCAGGGAGGATAGGAGGTGCGACGCAACTAGCAAAGCCGGGCGCGTCGGCTATTCAGATTCGAGGGCAGGGAGGCGAAAGTCCGTAGCCTTTGTGACGTACGTGACGGAAGGAGGCGAAGGCGCTAATATGTATCGCGCGCACTAGCGTCTAGCTGAAGGAGGGAAATACCGTGGACAAGGGCGCGGAAGTATCGGGCGGCGCAATGGGATATGACCTGGGCATAGACGTCGGGTTGGCCCGATAAGTGATACCTATTGAGTCCGAGAGGAAGTCAATGGCTCGGCTCATAGGTTGGGTTTTGGTTTTGATATTTCTTGTGTTCGGCGGTTCTGATTCGTTGACGCTTTTTCTAATCCGAATTTCTTGAGCAAAACACAAAATGTTTTGTGTGTGTGTGTGTGTGTGTGTGTTTTTTTTTGTCCTATTTATTATGGCGACAGTCCCCGCATTTTTCGTGGTGAGACGTGTAAGACACTCTTGAATGTGTAGAGTACTACACTTTTTCAGTTTTTCGTGACCCACCTTTCTCGTGCGGTGCGTGGTGAACTTTATGTTTATCGCCACAAGGGTCCAGTTGTCCCTTTTCCTCGGCAACGATGCTAACGTCCAAGTTTGATACTCGAGAGCTTTTTGAGCTATATTTTGCTTTCAGCCGCAACTTTCATTTTTTTTTGTTCACCTCATGAGGATGTTTAATGTTGTTGTTGTTTCTCACATTAGCTCTATAGTCCACAAAGAATGGGGAGCCCGTGGTCTCAAAACCCGGCACATACGACGCCGCGAGAAAACAAAAGAACAAAAATAGGGTACAAAGGATGTGTGCGAGCACCAATTGCCAACTTTTCTATCATCACATCACCAAGAGGAGACCCTACGTATTGCGACTCGTGGAGGTTGAGCCGTGCAACCTGTTCCTGAATACGAATATCAGACTTAATCATACAAACCCAGCAGTGTTAATGATGCTTGAAAGATGCACAACATTCAAGCAACTACCACGCTGGATCGCCGTGCCAGAAAAAAACGACTTTGCAATTCTGGGTGGCGGTTAGCGGTTTATATCGCGATGTATGCATAGTGGCACTTCGTTCATTCGCGATTAGGTGCCTAGCGTGTTGACTCATGGCTTGTGAGTCTTGATCCGAGCAGGATGTGGTGTGTGTGTTTGTGAGCCGGTGTTAATATATTCGCCTGGGGCGGCCCCAGCCTTCACTGAAGCGGGTTGACTGAAGCCCGCTCCCGTTTTTGTTCCCCACGCCGCGAGAGCGAGTTCGTTTGGCGAATAGGTAGGTTGCGAAGTGGAGACTGCGAAAAATGTACTTCGTGCGATAATGTTGAGACCTTGAACCCCCCTCAAAGCTGCGTTCTGAGCCGAAAAATATTCAGTGGGTCCGTATGGATGCCACTGTAAGGCTGTTCCCAAACCACATGGTGCCCCTATCACAACAACCTGTCCTGTAGTGCCAGCAAGCCGACTGGGCCTGACCAATCACAGAATGCTGCTGTTTGTGCAATTTCGTTTCCTCCAACACCTTATACCTGTACCCCATGGTTCGCCCACGCTGTCAGTTAGGGGGTGATCCTTACAATCTTCCATGTATTTCAAGGGGTTTCACGGAATGGAGCGGGGGTTATCATATTCTTTGTGTTGACCTACGCCCTTGTTTTAGAGAGTGCCCCGCTTCACATGTGCCAGAAATAAATCTACGATCCCTGCTACGCGAAAAATCACACATACAACATGCAACTGCTGTTGTGCTGCTTGCACACAATTTCCCAAGCCCTGGGCGAGCGCCAGAGAGATATCCTCCGCAACAACGAGCGTATGTGATGGCCTATGCACGATCGTATGTTCCAGAACAGACTCCTCCACTTACCAATAACACACTTCGTAGGCAGCATCGATGTTCTACAATAGAAAACACACCGCTACTTCGATATCTACGCAGGTGCGATCCCCGCTCAGCTCGGCGATCTCAACAAGCTAACGTGGGTCGACCTGCCCCACAACCAGCTCAGCGGTGGGACACCATGTCGAATTTTGAATACCATATATATTTTACAAGGGCGACCGACGGCGATGATCGACGGAGCGACGGCGGCTCGATCGAATAGGCGGCCCAAAGCCGCCCGATCGACCGGCCGGTACACCGACCAAGCCAACCCAAGCCAACCCCAAAACCCCAACCGCGAGCGACGAGGCGACGACGGCGGTCCAACCCAACCCCAACCCAACCCAACTCGCTCAACCTCCCAACGCCAACCCAAACCAACCTTGACACGGTCGGGCGGAGACGAACCCACACCACATCAGCAAAAGCAACCCGCAAAACTCACCTGAACCGAACGACTGCATCATGCATAAGCGATGTTTGTAACCAATACGCCCAACCTAGGGTTCCTGCACAAATAACCCACACCCCAACCCGCGACAACATTCCGCCATAATGGTTGTCATTGGATACTGCATCGAGGCGACAAACATGTACATAAAGGTGCCGCGCAAGGGCCGACCGAGCGATCACGAAGTACGTACGACCCAGGCCGCTCGATCGACCGCCCGACTGAGCGACCGACCCAACCCTACCCAACCAATCTCAACCCAACCCCAACGGCCACGAACGACGAGGCGACGGCGGCGCGATCGACGACGGTGTGGCCCACGACCGCACGATCGACCGACCGACCGACCGACCGACCCAACCCACCCTACCCTACTCTACCCAACCCAACCCAACCCGACCGACCGACCCAACCCACATTCTAAACCCAATCCAACCTGAACCCAGCCCAACCCAACCCGACCGACCAACCGATCAACCCAACCCTACCCGTCCAAACCCAACCTAACCCACACCGACTGATCGACCGATCACCGACCCAACCTTCCTTACTTCACCCCAGCCAACGCAGTAACCCCCTACCCATAACCTTACCGCTCGACCGACCGACCAATCGACCGTCCCAACCCTACGCTGCCCTACCTATCCACAACCAACCCAATACGACTGACCGACAGACCGACCCAATCCACCTTACACGGTCCAGCCAAACCCAACCCAACCCAACCCAAACCGTTCCAACTCAACACCAACCCGTCTCGCCCCTAAAACCCGCAAACCCCACCAACCCAACTTCAACCTTACCACCACGACCCAAAACCCATAACCCCAACCTAGCTTGGTTAACGGTCGGATCGGCACCTAAAACAAGTTCGCAGAAGTGCGTGTCTAGACCAATAAAGTAGTGTTTATTGAGGTAGATTCCTGTAGTCGTGGAGAGAAACAAGCCGGATGAGAAGGAGGTGGAGAGAGGAGACGAGAGAAAGGAACTTGCCCGAAACGCATCTATCTACTACGTCACCCACACAAACAAACGCTACCGCTAATATCGTTTTTTCGAGCACATCAACATCTATATGCTCCGCCCCGGTGGATCACCTGTTGTTAATTTCAATCGATACCACTAAATACTACGCAGAGCTCAAAGACCCCACGGATACACTATCGATCTATATATCCATTTTTTTTATACAATATATGGTGCTTCGCTTTGTTGTGATGAGGGGGATAGACCGTGCACGTGCTACCTGTCTGTGCCTACTGCTGTCATTTTGCTCAATATCACCGCTTCTTCTCCAAATAATGCCTACACGCAACAATAGGTTTAGTCCCACACACTTCGTATGATCGTCCAAGAGTAAGAAGACTACAACACCGGACGGCCTCAGCTTGATATCTTTCTCAGGCACTCTTTGGGTTCACTGCTTTAGTGAGGGACTCTTTGCGTCCATTTGCCCTACCTCCTGGAGCCTATACCAATGGAGCTGGGGTACTAAGCTGGAGGAGTTATGGTCATACAGAAACAACCTTACTGTGGAGGTCAGGATATGGAGATTCAGGAAGCACAAACACACGTACATAAAGAGTCAGATCCAAGGGATATGTGATAATAGATCACTGTTGGTCCCAAGGGGTCATGACCCTACAGATTCCCAACGGCTGCGAATAGTTGATGAATCTTTAGGAGGATGGGGAAATGAGTCCACGAAGGCTCACCCACACTCTCCGCACCACCCTAGCTTGACTGAGTTCGCTCGGTCACGCTTGGCATTCCTCGCCACATTACACCAAAGGAAATAGCCAACCTCCGGTGGCAGGACATAGCCACCACAACCCTGGACTCTCCACTCACCCAGAGTAGAGGGCATCCATATTGGCGTTCGACGAAGCGTTTTTCTTTTTCGCCGTAACCCAAGTCTGAAACATGGGAGGCAACAAAAAGAAAGCAAATACGCAAAACCAAAATCAGCAACAGCCGCCGAAGTCGCAACGCTCTGATGCTGCTACAGCCGCAGCAAAGCCCGCCGCTAAGCCCGAAAAGGGACAGCATAAGGCGAGGCGCGCTGGACAGAATGCTGGTGCTTCCGCGGGCTTAGCAACCCCGTCGAGCACAAACAGCAGCAGCATCGGCTCCTTCGGTCCTCTTGCCGACGGAGATGAGAGCCATGCGGACAACGACAGCAGTGATGCTGAGTCTGCTCACGACGATAACATCGGGAGTCGAACCGACGACGACGTCCACACCGGCAACGGTGATGGACGCGCGTGGGGGGAAGTCGATGACGACGACGTAGACGGACATGACTACGACGACGGCCTCGCGCAGGATATCCTGCGGGACCGCGCGAAAGCACCCCGTCAACCGGGCGCGTCGCTCCTGTCGAGCGGCAGCCCACTCGAGTCAGTTCTGGTCGCTGAGGTCCAGAAAGCAGCGAAGGCCGGGGAGGAGCCCCCAGCCTGGGTCATCAAGATGCTCATGCCAGGCGCCGGCCACCAGAACGACATAGAGAAGGTGAACCCGAGATCGCTTGCCCAGGATCTAGCAGCAGAAAATAGTTCTAGCAGGCGCACCCCAAGTGTTCCGCAAATTTCTTCTGCTCATCAGAACACAACAATTTCACACAATACCCCGGACAACCTCAACGCGGTAAACCAAAAACCAATGAGCCAGGTAAACCAGCAAACGGTAAACCAGGACACGTCTAACCCGGTAACCCAGAACACGGCAAACCAGGGCGTGATTAGCACGACACGATTCACTTTGAAGGCTACCGACCTTCCGCCTGACCTAAAGCTCGAAGGTCTGCCTCACGAAGATGTTCCGGAAAAAATGGCCCTTTACAGAGCACACATCGGGCTATTGTCCGCCGACAACGTCTCTCAAAGCACAATCGATCACCGTGCAATCAGACACCTCCCACTTTTCGTACGAGGTACTGCAGCTCAAAGCCTCAGCCTCATGCTTAGCTCATCACTCGAATGGCGACCACCAGCCCAGCTGCATGCGTTGCGTGCGCGTGGGGAGGCAATCCGAATCTCACCTCCGAAAACATGGAAAGAGTGGGTCACCGCTTTCACTACTTCGTTCGCCCCTGCCAACAGAATCGCTCTTCTTGCACGTGATGTCATGACATTGGAAGCAAAGAGTAGCGAATCCGTTGACGAGTTTGCGCTCAGAGTAACCCGCACGTACGCCAGGCTTTTAGCAGAAGCCGAACGCACAGCTCCGCTGAACGTACCACCTCACGAACACGCTTTTACTCAAGCTCTCACTGCATCTTTCGAAAACGGTGTACACCCGCACATCCGCGTGGAAATGATGAGGGCAGATCCATCCGAATCTTTCATGGAATCTAAAGCGCGTGCTCGTAGACACGAGTCCAACAACCTGCGCTCTCCCTCTGCCCCCGTCTCGGCTACCGCTTCCGCTGTACATGGTCCTGCTCATGCTGAGCAGCTCCAACATGCAACAGCTGACCACCAAAACCGCATCTCGGCCCTGGAGAATTTGATTTCGGGTCAAGATGCGTTCGTGGCGAGCGGGGCTGCGTACACGGGACAGCAGGGCCGCAACCCGCGGAAAGCGGCGGACAAAAGAGACCGCGATCGGTCGCGTGGACCAATCACCCGCACTAAGCCGAAAGTCACCTTTGCCAATAGTACCAAACCGGACACACGTGAGAAGGTCGAGTGCGATTTTATCGGGTGCAAGTTTAGCAACCTAAGATTCACGCACCCGCGATCTGAGTGCAAAAATGAAGAGAGAGCGAAGCAGGAGGGGTACAAAGTTACTAAAAAGTAGGGTCGCCCGAGTAGGCAGCATCCCTCGGCCAACGTGGGACACCAATCATTTGGTTCTTTCAAACCAGTACGTAAAAGCTGGGATAGGCTGCAAAGCAAGAATAAGCAGAAGAGAGCCAAAGTAGATGAGAGGGATACAAAACACTGTAGAAATGGTGTACGACCTCTGGGGGAAACAAAAGGAAAAGCAGGCAGAAAGGAGTGCTGTAAAACAGTTGAAGTACCTGAATCACGAGAAAATTCTTGCGAAGTTTGTAGCAGCAAGCAAACGCGGGAACTTCCCACGTCGAGTACTGGCACAACTGATGCAGTAGACTCTTTAGATCCAGCAGCAAGGGATAGCACCCAAGTGAAGCAAGTAGCAGCAAGTTTAGCGCCGCAAGCTTTGCACGTAGCTACCGTAGCTGGGGACTTCAGGTCCAAACATAGGTCGAACCTAATGAGGACTGATGATAATGAAGAATTTCATGCTTTTTACATGTCTGCACTCGCTGGATACCCCGTGTGTCCATCGGTGTTACGATCGACATCCAAGCGAGTACGTGTATCCGCCAGAATAAACAATGAGTCGGTTGATGAAATTACAATCGACACAGCGTGTGACATACCATGCATATCACACAAGTTCATGAGAAGTCACAAAACGCTGAAAAACACGAAAATATTTCCAGTACCCACAGGAGCAATCAATTTGCGCAGCGCTGATGGTTCGCCCCTGAAAATTAAAGGGTACACTCGATTCGAACTAACACTAGGAGAAATCACCTTACCTGTTGAAGCTCTAGTGCTACCGTCGTTGGGACCAGATAATATGCTAATCGACAATAGCATAATGGACGCATTTGGCGGTGTTCTTGATTGGCAAGCGGAAGAATTGTCGTTTAAAACAACAAAAACCAAAATTCCGGCCACCCACCGTAAAACGCGCTACCCCACGACCGACCAGGAAAACAGCATGAACTGTTCTGTGGTAGCAGTTGAGAGAGACACCCTTGCAGTGCCAGTATACACTACCAGAAAATGCTGCATACCTGCGCAACATGAAATAGCTGTCGAAATTCATTCGCTGGAGGCGCCAAATGAAACCACAGCTGCCGTTGTTGAACCACGCATCATGACTTCCGATGACGTTAACAAGCAGGATACGCCACAGGCATTCCAGAGGGTAATAGTAGCACGCACGGTCTGTCACTGGTATAAGCACAACAAAAGTGCAATGGTACAACTGGCCAACCCTTCTCACAGACAGGTATCCCTGAAGAGAAATACACTTATAGGCTATATCTGTCCGGTGAAAACTGTACTGCCACAAACAATGAGCAGCGTTCAATCGAGCCCGGAAGAAACGGAAAAAAACCGTACAGATCTCAAGAAGGCATTAGCCAAAGCTTTCAGAGATACAACCTTTTTGCCCGACCAGTGTGAAGAAATACTTAATCTGTGTACCAAATACCGTTCAGTATTCTCCCTGAGTCCTAAAGAACTGGGCAAGTGTACTCTCACAGAGGCTGATTTTCCATTGCAACCAGGAACAAAACCAGTCAACAGAGCTCCATATCGTGCAAATCCACGAATGCAAGAGGTTATTGACAAATGTGTTGGTGAAATGGAAGAAGCTGGGATAATCGAGCAAAGAGCGAGCCCATGGGGGTCAGCAGTAACGTTGGTAGCAAAAGCTGACGGCAGCCCCCGATTCTGTGTAGATTACAGAGCGACGATAAACAAGAATTTAATTCGAAAATCGTGGCCAATGCCTGAGATGGCAAGTCATATTGACACAGTAGCAGGTGCTAAATACATCACAGTCTGCGATGTACAAAGTGCATACCACCAAATACCAATTGCCGAAGCGGAACACAGAGTAGAGGGCATCCATATTACCGGGCAAAGTTACTGAAGTTATTACATGTTTCTCCTGAATAGCTGCGGCTGTGCCGGTTGTAGAACACACACACACTCGCCTACGTGGGCGGACAGTATCTAAGGAGACCGTCTTGTTCAGAAAATAACAACAGTATTCAATCTTGCCCGATTTGATCTCAACTGTTGGCGCATTGGACTCCAAAGCGGGCGTTTTCAGGGCACCCACTCAGCGGGAATGGTGCCTGCAGCGCATACCGAAGTCAAAGTTTGGAGAGTCCAAAACGTGTGTCCCGTGGCCTCTAGAACATGTACAGGCGACCTCCGAAGATGGTGTCTGTGGATTAAAGTAGGATACAGAACTATTGCGGCAGTTTACAAGGTCGTATATGATTCGTTCTAGAAGGACGAAAATGTCGGTTCACGTGTAACGTGCATGAAGCGGAATGCGGCGTGACTTCGACGATGAACATGCATGTGTGGATGCCTCGTCGAGGTCAGTCCTGAATAATGAAGAATTGTGTGGTGTGTTAACCAACGGTCTTGCATCTCTGAGGTTAGGAAACTAACACGAGGGCTCCTCAGAGCACAAACTCCCTCGATTGAACGAGGGTTCCAAGGTTGCTTTTCGTAGGGGATGGTAAAACTCGGGTAGGGTATAGGCAATCGGGTACCCTACCCTCGGAGGGTAGGGTATCGAGAGTAGTACCAAAACCTACCCGAGCGTTGGGTAGGGTATCGAGGGTGGTACATAACAACCCGCAGGGTAGAGTGGACCAGACAATGAACCCTACCCGCCCGGGTAGGGTACCGGTGAAAAATTCGTACTTTTACCAGGTGCAGGTAGGGTATTGAAAGTCATACAAAACCTACCGGAGGGGTCGGTTAGGGTGTTGAAGGTCCTACCTAAGCTACTCGAGAGCGGAATACCCGCGGGTACCGGGTAAATACCCGAGGGAAAGTCTGCTGCGGCTGTGGCGAGGTGAGCTGCAACGACAAGAACAAAGGTCCTCGTCGCGAAGAGTGGTCAGGAGCTGGCAGGGCGAGGTAGAAGTGGACGCGGCGGCAGTGCCGCGGACGGCGAAGCGAGTCCTACTCGGGTGAATGTGAGCGAGGTAGTGCTCGGCTCCACCCAGAAGCCACCCGAATATGGGGAGACGCTGTCCGCTGCTGCAGCTAGGCGGTTTCTGCTTCGATACGCAGAGTATGAGCGCGTGGTGGCGCGCGGCAACGAAGGTCGCGATATAATTGCTTCTTACCGCTTAGCTTGTTGTGTTCAAGGTCGAGCGTCTTCAGTGCTTCAAGCTTGCCCAGCTCCGCCGGGATGGTGCCAGATGAATATAAAAAATAAGTTGGCGGGAGAAAACAAAATTTATCCCCCGGCGTCTAGAAAAACGATCCTGCCAACGCGTCCATTCACGCAGTACGCGGGGTTCATGCAGGCAAAACTCGCAAGCAAACGAAACTCTTTTCGATCTGTTCAACTCACCATCCAGCTTGTTGTGCGAGAGGTAGAGGTGCCGGAGGGCGCCAAGCTGTCCGAGCTGCGGCGGGATATGGCCTGCAGATGAACGATTCAACGCAGGGCAGTTTGGCAGGGTACAAAACAAGTTATCCCGCGAGTTCTG